TTTGTTTATATAAATATCAAACTCTATTTTACATCTTAAGTAAACAATAAACAAATAATTTTAACTTTTTCGGACTTATTTGTCCGATTTCTGAACGATCAGTTCAATATCTGAATTCCCTGTGTTGGGATCGTATCAGACAAATTATATTGATCAAAATAGTTATTATACCTTTAATCTTACTAGTCCCTCTTTGCAAGCTTTATATAACCATCGTGATTAAAACTTAAATGCGAGATAGATAACGCAACGTGCGCCGCATAGCGGTAAACGAACGAATTAGCGATTATCGAAAACTGTTTCTTGTAATGTTTTTGGAATGTGGCTGTAACATTCTCATGAAATATTACAATTATATGTTCCAGTAATGTCTCAACAATATTACATTGCAACTTGCAAGATTGTAACATTGCTGCAATGTAATTGCAATGTTCTGTGCTGTATGGGAATGCCCGACCGGACATGAAGTATCCGAATAAGTGAAAGTTCATTTGTTCCGATTCCCCACCCGGGTGCACCCGATATTATAGTATATGTCACGTATACTATAATATCGGGTGCATCCGGGTGGGGAATCGGAACACAGCTTATGATGGGAGGCTTATTTTGTCTCTTTTCTTAGCATCTCATTGGTGATTTTGTCCCCCCTCCATAAAGAAAATTACCAATGAGATGCTAGGAAAAAAGACAAACATAGGCCTCCCATATAGTACCTTTCTACAGCGGGAGCGCGTTTGTTTATCTTGCAATGCTCAATCCAGTCTATATATCTATGTTCTTTACTTATTGGGTTAGTGCCGGTCTACAATAGGTGATTTAAACCCTAAGCCTTAAGAAATTGACCAATCACAATCAAGTATGAGGAGAATACTCGACTGTGATTAATCAATTTCTTAAGGCTTAGAACTTAAATAATCTATTGTAGACCGGCACTAATACCACAGTATTTACAGTAGATTCTAATTTACAGTAGCGCAACTCTCCCGATTTTGTGTTGGCCAAAACGGAGTGCGCATGCGCGAAATAAGTAAGTTGGCCAGTAACGCTATCTAAATTTCTCTCTCACTTACTCTTTTTTTTCTACTCTTTCGTTCTCTCTCACACTATTTAAATACCCAATTAAATGTCTACTGCCTAAACACGAAAAACGGCAGCGTGGCGACTCTCATTCTTCTCTCTGATCATGTGCATCATGCATGAAACGGAACGCAGCCAAAGTTCGAACAGCTGTTGACATTGGGTCTGTTCATAGACATAGTATATCTAGACCGAGCGTTTGCCTTTATTTAAGGAGTGGGGGCCGATGCCCACGTAGAAAAGGACATATACTCTGTTCCGTGCCCTTGCGTTCTGTCTCACTCGCATGTAGCATAGCGAAAGAGTACGCTATGCTACGTGCGAGCGAGAGAGAACGCAGGGGCACGAAACAGAGTATGTCCTTTTCTACGTGGGCATCGGCCCCCACTCCTTAAATAAAGGCAAACGCTCGGTCTAGATATACTATGTCTATGGCTAATACATATACTGTGGTTACGTCGTCAGTTTTGTGCCTGAAGACAAAGGAGTGGTATGTATATATGTAGTATTCAGTAGTATGTTGAGAGAGACGAAATAAAGGAAGCAAAGAAACAAAGTTTGTAAAGCTAGTAAAGACGGTAACAAGCTCGCATATAACTATTTTATTATACCGAACATTATTGTTGAGCGTTTGTTGAAATTGTGTGTATAAATACTTGTGAGAAAGGTATAGTATACGGAACGGAAAAAATATTATATATTTAACATATATATAAGATGATATACAGGGTGTTTCATAAATTGTGGACAAAACTTTAGTAATGGATTCCTAATGCTTACAGAAGAAAAAAAAAGTTATATCAATTATAGATCCGGAAATGATTAGTTTTTGAATTATTGTAAGTTTTGCCCACCATTTATGAAACACCCTGTATATAAATATTTTTCTGTAACTTTTTCACTGAAAGATAAAATAACAGAATTACTAAACCTTGTATTTTTTCTGACGAATAAGACAGTAAAACGTGTAACATTAAACTGCAATCGTTATAAGATAATTGTATTTTGAATAAGAATAGAAGAATTCAGTGAAACTTGAAGTTATAAATTACGAATCGATATTTTTTTCTATTACTTTCTAGTCAAATATGAATTTTAGTTTATTATTATATTTAATCATATCTTGTATTTGCATCTACAAATTATAAAGCACATTAATTTAGTTTTATTAAGTATTTATTAAGATTATATTTGATTACTCTTTTACGAAAAGTAAAAGTGTAACAGAAATTATGCCAAATTTTCTTTTTTTTATGTTATTTTGAATAATATACATATGGCACATATATTTCACAAAATTTTGAAACAATTCACGAAAAAAATGTTCCGTTCTTCAAAAATTTACTTTTTTTTTTGTTTCTTTCTCTCTCTTTCTCTTTCTCAAATATGGTTTTATAAAACTAAATAATATTATATATGTTTCCACAGGCATCACTAGAATTTATTCCGCACAACATATTATTTTATTTTTGAGATATATATGAATTACTAGACGAGTAAATTACTAAAAAATTTTTTTGGTTTAAATTGTGTGCAGTTACAAAGGAATGGGTATTTTTCATTACTTTTTTGTAGTATTATTTATTTTATTTACAAATAACACTTCTAAACAAGTTATAAGCAACCATAATGTCATATTAAAATAATATTGCAGGTAATTCCAAAAGTAAAAACGAACATGATAATTATAACACAAAGTATAGGCAACCCACTGATATAGGCAGTCACATAGGCAGTGGTTTCATAATAATAAAGAAAGATGATACCATTACGGGTACCAAAAGCGTTCCATATAATTCATTTAAAAATAATCATGAAGCATACAAAACTGCCAGTGAAAAAAGAACGCAAGGTTTATTTCATGAATTTGATAAGTCACATAACTTAACATGTAATGACAAAGTTAATGTTCAACCTAAATTTATGACAGAGATCTATGTCAATAAAGAAAAATGCAATAATGAAATTCAAACAATTTATCTGAAAAATAAGTCTGCAATTGAAACAACTGCACCATCTAAAATATCTACAAAAGATGACTTTATGACAGAATGGTTTTCATGGAAAAATGAATTCCTCACATACATGAAATTAATTGATCAAGCAGAGAGTAATAAACAAAAGTGGGGTATAATGCTCTTAAATCGTATGGGTCCTATCGGCCAAGAAATTTATAGAAGTTTTACATTTGATAAGGATCACACTGAAGGAAACATAGATACATTGCTAAGAAAGTTCGATTTCTATTGCATATTTGGAGGTAGAAAAAGAGGAGATGATGAAGATATCGATACATATGTCAATAATTTGACGGTATGTTAGTATGAATATTTTTATTATTTTCACAAACTTGTTTCTCATAAAACATTATTTTTAATCACAGCTAAATCATTTTTAAAACACTTTATATAATTATAGAGGCAAGATAGAATTCATTAAACATTAAACTATGCAAAATTTTCATGTGTCATCTTTTTTTCTTTCATATAAAAAGAGTAATAGCTCTCTCTTTCTCTTTCTCTTTCTTTCTCTCTTGTTTTCTCTTGTTCTAATTTCTAAAATCATTCTATCTAAAGAATTGGAAGTACTCTCTCTTACTTTCTTTATTTTTGGCAGTAATGTAAAATGCCTAAAATGTTGAGGAATTTAAGTGCAATGGATATACAATATATTTTTATTTTGTATTATCCATAAAATGTTGATATTTAATATTTTTTACATATTATATTTAAATTAATAGTTTTGTTTTTTAGGTAATGGCGTCAAAATATATGACTAATACAGATGAAATAGTGAAAGAGAAAATTCTGATGGAAATAGACAAAGGTAGATTTACAAGAAAAGCTGAAAGTTTAATTTTGGGATTCTCATTTCCATCGTGCAAACAATCGTTAACTGTAAAAGAAATGACATATATTTGGATGTCATATGAGAACGCAAACTTCAAGCGAAGTGAGGAAATCCACAATTTTTTAGTTAAAAACTGCAATAATTGTGGAAGGACACATAAAGTAAATAATTGTTATGCTCGTGGAAAACGATGTAATAAGTGCGGTAATGAGAATCACTATTGGACAAGATGTCCGTCTCAATTTTTCGCTAATTGCTTATATTGTGGGGAAGGTCATTTTGTTCGAGAGTGTCCTGCTTATCTGAATGAATGTAATAGATGTAACAGAACAAATCACTTCTCCTGGAAATGTTCGATTGCAAAAATTTTAAATTGCAACTATTGTGGTTTAACACATATTGCATCTAAATCTGCATGCCCTGCAATAAATACTATATGCACTAAGTGCCGTAAAAGAGGACATTTTCCAATAAAATGTTTCAAAAAGTGAACACACACAACAATTTAGGAGTATCACCTGAATAGCGTACTCCTTCCATTACATAAGAAGATGAAAGTTTATGATATAAATTTTATAAAATATACACATTATTTGACATATATTATTTTGATACACATTATTGTTACATTTGTGGATATAATGTTATTTTTTATATTATCTTATTCTTATTTTTCTATGCGAGATAATTGAATAGAATGATATTCATTTTTTCTATAATCTCTTAAAGAATATAAAGATTTAATATAGAAGCTAGAGATGCAGACTGTTCCCGGTAGTGCCGCGAATTTACCTCGGTGCAGCGCATTACTATAGGTACGTTGTCGTGTCGCAAAAAAGAGAGCGTGCGTAATTGCGCAATTAAAGGCAGCCACACGATTACTGAACTCCCAACGAAAATATGCCGCAGATTGATATGGAGGAAAACAATTAAGATTATACTTAATAGATTTTAAAAAAAGTATATTAATCTTTATATCGTTTTAAAAAATAAATATTTTCTTCTCTGTCTTTATTTTTGTAAATTTTAATATGTTTGAAAATTAAATGTCAAAAAAATTAAATAAAAAAAGATTATGTTTGTATATATGTGTGTGTTATTAAAATTATTTTAGTCATAAAATTTTAAAGATATATAAAAGACTGAGCCTTTATTCTGTTATAGTTCTATTGTTATAAGGTAACGCAATTGTAACATAAAAAATGTCATATTTCTGAAATATTCTACAAATATATTTATAATCAAGTAATAGTATAGAAGTATATATAAAGACTTTATGATCACCCAATGTCATCACCCTTGGATGCCATTTCCGACATAGCATATAATATGATTACGGTTTAATCTTATCATTTCATGTGAAAACGATTATATGACATCTATATGCAATGCTGTGGACAAAAAAGTTGCAATACTTTTCCTTTCAATGATTTTCAGAACGCCCATAAAATCGTAAAGTTGATTTCACTATATGAGAAACAGAAAATTTTTAAAGAAGCATTTTGAAACTATACTATCAAATATACTTTTCGTTACAGACTCTTCAAACGAATTCAAAGATTATTCTTTTCCCAAAGAAACTGTCGAAAGAGAAGATTTTTCGTTGAAAAATATTGAATTTTTTTACATTTTGATATTGTTTTTATAATTTCAAATTCGCAGTTTAATTACTTAAAATTTATTTAATTGAAGAATTCCGCTTTTTTTTCTTCTTTTTTTTGTTCATTCAATTCTCTGAAGTTTTTTAGTATCAAAAGAATCTTATCCGTCAAAGAAGTAATAAAAAAAATATATATATTCAAATAAATGTGTTACATGAAGCTCTTTTGACAGATTTATAGCGTTTTCGAATGAAATAAGGTTTGATTGCTTTGAGAGCGATTAAACCCAATTTTCCATGAACCTATGTTCAACCGAAAATGGGTTTTGAATTTCATTAATATAAATAAATATATTCTTAGTATTAACCCAAGACGATGTTTATGACTCTCATTAATCACTCTCAGAGCGATTAAATTTGCTTCACTCGAAAACGCTATTATCACAGATCTATATATTGTACTGTGTGTGTGTGTGTATAAAATAAAGTAAAAGGCTGCCTTTGTTTCACATGTCACCATATGAGATATATAGCTATATTAAGAGGATGCCGGACCGTCCTGTTTTACCGGCCATAATAATTATATATTTGCTTAATATAAGGGTTTTGCGGTGTGTACGTGCAAAATAGGATACCTCTCCACTCGGAAATGCATGAAAGAATATAAGTGAACGTTTGAAAATGTATTTGAAAGCCTAGTAAGAAACATTTCGGTGTGCAAAATGTTGCATAGTAAAATCTTTTTTAAAAAGCTTCTAAACTCACTTTCTCGAAGTTCACTAATACTCTTTGATAAAATGCCGAGTGCGGAGTTCACTTTTTTTTTTACTTTTCATATGAAATCATAAACCCCGCACTCCGTTATTATGTATACTTTAATTATGGAAAAGGATTTGTTGATATCTATAATCAACAAAAATATTTTGCAATCCTACTAATATTCGCATTCTGTCGGTATCCGGCATCCTCTTAACGCGTCTAGGTATGATATATAGAAATCTGTGGCTATTATTTAATCAAAAATGCTCTTGTCAGCGTCAATGTGGCAACGCTGTTTAAAATATATAGCTCGATTAGATCTACTGCGCTCTTTTGTTCCATACTATCCACTGTCCAGTCTCCAGTCGCCCAGTCTTCGATAAGCAGAGACTGCATAACACAAAACCGCCGCGACGTAAAAAGCAAAGAAAAGATTATTGTCAAATATATTGGCCATTTTACTAGTTTGTTCAAAAAAGACAATTATATATGACATATAATTATTTTGACACCCATAGTTTATTATAAACTTGACTATCAAGATATTTGTGGAAGATACATATCAACAGCAATAAAAAATAAGAAAATATTTATGAGATTAATATGGGTAAGTAATGCAATTTAATTTTTTCCTTTTGTGTATACGACAATATATTATATATATATATTATATATTATATATTATACTGTTATGTCTATAGCAGACAATGCAACATTTGTATCAGATATATTTAACAAAATGCGAAACTTTCCACCACTGAATGATAAAAAAAAAAATATTGGTAGAAGTTGGTGCGAGTGGAAACAGAATTTTTTATCCTTTCTCCAGAATGAAGATGCCAATGAATTATATAAAAATCAGTGGCCAGTTATCTTATTGATGTTAATTGGTCCACTTGGAGAACAAGCATATAAAGATTTTCCTTCTTGCAATGCTCTTCAGATGGAAGATTTAGAAACATTATTATGCTATTTTGATTTATACTTTATTTTTGGACATAGAAAAAGAAAGAAAGACGAAAACATTGAAAACTATATTGATAGCTTGATGGTAAATTAATATCTGTATTGTATTATATATAAATTGATATCTTTATATAACATCAAATTTCTTCTTATATATGATGCACATATTATTAAAATACTGTTAAAATACAGCAGTTTTGGGACCATTCATATTCCTTTTGTTTTGCTCAATTTGTAGTTATAAAAATGTTATGCAAATATTATTGAACTAAATGATAAGATTTTGTTATCTGTATTTACATATCTCTGAAATTTAACATACCACAACTATAATTTTTATAAATAATTAACGTCTTGAAATAGATTTATACTTATATTTCATATTGATATGAATTGATGTTTCTCTTTTATAGCTTGTTGCAATTGCAAGCAATCATGGTGATCCTGTGAATATTGTAAAGGAAAAAATTATGCAGGATATTAAAAATTACAATTTCACAGGAAAGGCTATGCTTTTTATACAGTCTAAAGGCAACAACTTGGTATCATATTTGCAATTATTGGATCTTCATAAAATTACTTTGTTTTGGAAACAATGCGAAGACTTGATGTTACAGAAGAATTGTAAAAATTTACAACAGCTCTCTCCTAATCCACAATTAGCTGAAATGGAATGTATTCGTTGTGGTACTTGCCATAGCAGGAACCATTGTCCAGCACATGGGATGCGATGTAACAACTGTAATGGATATAATCATTTTACAGATTATTGTAAGGTAAAATATGTGTCTGATTGTATTAAGTGTGGAACACATCATATTCAGTCACGTTGTCTTGCTTTTGGCGAAATGTGTACGAATTGTGGTAAAGCAAACCATTTCTCATGGTTGTGCAAAGTACCTGTTGTGAAAAATTGCCTTAGATGTGGTAAAGATCATGCTATATCCATGTGTCCAGCACAAGGTCAAGTATGTGGCCGGTGTAACAAACCTAATCATCTAAAAGAAAAATGTTTGAGCAAACTAAATGATGAGTAAAAATAATATGCAATATTATTCTACTCTCTTGGAATTTTTAAACAATGACAGTATATACAAGCTATTTACTACTTGCCTTCTTTATTTTAACGATAGATTCTTATATGAAATCAATTTTTCTTGAGTGAAAATTCAATTTTTATTTTTCAGTATTACATATTTTTTGTAATTAGATCCTAAAATTAAAACTCTCAAAGTGAAAATATTTAAAAATAATGCTTTTTGAAGAATGACTTTTTATTATCTGCTTGTCTAAAATTCACATTACAAAAATACTTTCTAATCATTTACATCTTGAAAATAATTAACACTTTGTTAATTATTTTCACACATTATAATATTTCCATTATAAACAAATTGATCCCAATTTTATCAAAGGATCTGTCATTAAAATTAAAATCTTAGTGAAATAATGTGTTAAGTGATGTATATATTTTATATATATATAGAATTCGTTTTTTTATGTCATA